GAATGGAAAAAATTCTGGACCATATATAGAGGAGAGTAGATACAATAAACTGAATGCAAGGAGTAAGCAAAAGAAAGTAGCTCTTGTGTGTCTCCTAACCGTAGGCACAGACTTAAACCTTGTTCAGCTTCAGTCAGTTCACCTTTGGCATGGTGACATTGGGCTTCATTATGCTTAATGTCTTCTGTCATGTTTTATAAACTCAATTCAAATGTATAAATTCTACCTGCACTGCACATGTAAAGTGATACAGTTAGAAATGGGATTAGCAATAGTTAGAATGCTAAATGGGAAGATGCAAAAAATATCAGGAAGAAAGTTAAAAAGACGGTATGCTAAAAATGTATCTTTTCTGGATGTGGGAACTTGCGTGTAGACCAAAATTGTGAGTGTCTATGGAACTGGAATCTAGGGCATGGAACCCTGTCTTGCAGAATTATTTCTTCAGAGTGGAAACCTTATGTGTTCTTTTCTTTAACAAGACAGTTGGGGTAACGGTTCCTATAATTTCTTTTAGAGCATCTGCCAGGAAATGGAGGCATGAGGTTAATGCGTTACTCAGGGACGTTTCTTCCTCTGTGGGGAGAGCATCCTAATCACTAAGGCACAGTTTGCATCTAGTAGAGGGGCAAACCCATTGGCCAAGCTGATGATAATCTGTAGAATGAAACACAAGATCATGCAGTCAGAAAAATCCCAGGGGAAAGAGAACCTGCCTTTATCCCAGTGGTTAGGACATTTTGGGGAGCATGATTCTGGTGGTCTGATCTTTGTTTCTAGGATTGCTTTTCTAGATCATTGCAAGAATTACACTGGTAATCCTGGCAGTGGGGCATTAGAATTTAGGATGGGCTTTTATTTTATTTGCTGCTTTTTGGGTTTTTTTTATTTCTCCTTTCCTCACAAATATTTAATCACTCCATGCAAATTATGTTAAAAAAGGGACACTGAAATACCCCTGTACCACACAGTTAAGAACTTGTGGCCATTTTTTGTGTGACAAGTTACCTGTCTTGGATTCCTTTTGACATTCCAGCAAGGCTGGAATTGTCAATTCTATAAGAGTACAATTGTGACTGCTGACCTGTCTGACAGTAAAAGGTTTATCTTGTTGAACACTAACTGGTTAAGACTGCGAAGGCAAACTGAAAAGGAGTATCTTGTTCAAGGATCTCAGTAAAACTTAAATGTGAAGTGCTGCTGACAGTCTGAGCAAATGGGCTTTACTAGTATAAACTCAAGGAGTTTGGATGACTTTGGGGACAGACAGCTCCTAAGCAAGAGTTCTAGTGATTTCAGTGTTAGATTTTGGCAAGATCTGATAATTCCTTTTATGGATCTGACCCCAAAATATTTGTGTGTATACAGGTTTCTTATTTCTGTCGTAGAAAGAGGCTTGCATTATGTTAAGATCATTATCCAAACCAATATAGTGCTAGTGCGAGCTTAGCGTGATGAATATGGAAGATACAAATTTCCTTATGTACAGCAAAAAACTTTGTCACATACTCCTTGCAGTTCTGTCACCACAGTAACTTGCTTAAATTCAACCAAAACATTGTTCTTCCTTAATGTCATTTTATGGTGTTTTTAGGCCCTGCACATCTCTTTAGGCTTGCTGGCAAGTGTTTCAGTTTTGTGGAATCAACGTGAGTAATGGATTTGGATATTGAATTCTTTATATTTATTAGGAATGAAATAGTTGCTTATTTCACACTGAAACATTTCTTATTTTCTTTTCTCTTTTCTACCCCACCCCCAC